GGACAAGATTTCAATCGCGGCTTAGAACATGAAAACCTCGTGTCGCGCTCACCGACAAATTGAGAAAGTGAATAGTTACTTGTATATATGACTTATTCGGTCATTTTGTATAGTACAAAAACAAATGCGAATTACTCATATTGGGACAATGGGAAAAAAATTCAACCTTTCAATACGACTTGTATGTAAGCAAATCTCCTGCAGAAAGTAATTTTATGAGGTCCGACGTAAATGTCTTTTGGAAAGGATTTTGTCTGCTTTGTTGTTATATTTTTGTTTTCAGTTTGTTTTGGGGGTTTGTGTGTGGGTGTGTGTGGGGGTATTTTCTCTCTCTCTCTCTCTCTTTTTTTTGGGGGGGGGGCTGTCGTTGATGTTGACGATTTAGTCGTTGAGTTTCAAAAAGCTTTTCAGTCCTTATATTGTGAATAAATCTGACAGTAGTTTCAGAACTATATAACACCAACGTGCAGACCTTCTTAACCTGTTGCAGAACCGTTCCAACGGGTATTGACTCACAAAAATCACTTGAAATTAAAGAAGGGCGAAGTTAAGACCTTCAGCCTTCATTATGCCTCATCAGATCATTGGTTTGTCAACAAACTAATCATACTGTCAACAGGTGTGAAGTCCATGGGCAGATCGGGGTTCAAAGGGAACAAAAAAACAATTGGGGGGGTGCAAGGCACTTTTCTGTCTAGCTAGTTTTCCATCGGAAATTGTGCAGAAAACCAGCATGCATCAAAATGTATCCTCAGAAAGGCTTTGAAAGGTTGTATAAAAAAATTACAAAAGTCCCCCCCCAAAGAAAAAAAGATTGCTGCGTCCGAAAATGTGGTTCTGGATCCGCCTTTGAGACCACGTTACAGGGTCAGCCGGGTAACTGAAATGAAATTTCTAAGGTGTATATGCACACATTTCTTTAGGGGACATAGACAGCGGCTGAACTGTTTGCTTATACATAGGTTGTTTCTATTCCACAATTCGTAATAAACCAACCCATTAAAAGTTGAGAGGTGTCTTTCGAAAAAAAATTCCACTGTTATGAATCCATAGAGATTTTGGGACCCAAAGATCACAAAAATGGTCGTCACCGTGGAAGAGAAGCCTCACCAATTGTACTCGCAAGGCATGCCCCAGTGCCAGCACCTCTCATAAGACAGTGTCTAAATTTTTCCAAGATCAAGAAAGGAAAAATGCCCAAGACATGACTAAATATCTAAACCTAACAGATGTTGTTCTCGGCGATTTCATCAAGGACAAATATGGCCCTTGGCTCGATTTCAGAAGTAGCAACGACTTCACCACCCGCGGCTCGGGAAGAGACTCGGGAGGCATCACTATTCAACTGACAAGAGCAGCAGAAAGCACTGACCCTTTAACGGTGTTCTGTTCTACGGTTTCAGTCTATAGACGCGCACTTCAGCTCACCATTGAAGACGACAGTTTCAAACAATTTGCCTTTTAGATTAAAGAACCCAGGGCTGAAAATGCAACCTAACTTCAAATGCGCTCTAATCGTTGGCAAAACAAACCAAATGGGTCTTGGAGCTACAAGAAACAGAGTTCAAAACCATTTATGAAGCGACAATAATTATTTGCCCCACGCTCTTTAATTTCAAAATAAAACTTATCTCCCACCCGACAGATCCAAACATTTACCTCTGTGACATTGACACAAATGTCAAATGCAGCGAATACCCTCAGTATCGAGAGATACTTGATGGAACAAAAGTTTGATCGACGACTGTTCTTCAGAGCAACAAATAAATCTTATGAACCCACAGGAGTAAGTGAGGCCGCATGAGTAAGCGGAGTAGCGGGAGACGACGCCCACGAGCAAAGCAAGAGCACACTGGCCGAAACGTCGAGTTCTCACTCACCGGTTCTTTTAAGAACCACACCTCGCCCAAAACAGATTGATTCCATGGTGTACCCGCGAACCCATTTCTCATAACACAAGGGTGCAGACCACTAATTCAATTGAGAATTTCTGGCCAGTTCATTGCATTAAAAGTGCCCCCCACAGTATCTTTTGAAAAAGGAGACTGTTTGGCCCCCAAAATGGTGAGATTGTGAAAATCGCTGCCAGGATGAACTCCCGGGGTCTTTGAGCTTTCATATGGGAG